GCTGTATCCAGGTTTGGATTGCTATTTTTGAGTCAGTCTGGGTCGGAAACTGTAAAGTAGCAGTAGGTAGGAGCAGAGCGTTGGAATCCAGTTGGTCCGCCTTTTCATTGCCAAGAATGCCGACATGTGAAGGTATCCATTGCACTCGAATGTTACAGCCTCGGAAAACAAGTAGACGCCCCAAGTTAAATATCTCACGAGTCATGTTGGCATTAACGCCTCTGCCGCTTCGAATGCTTCGCACTGCACACTGGGAGTCCGTTGCGAGCAGCCAGTTTTCTGGTGGCCTTTTCAAGATATAAAGAAAAGCTGCGTGAATTCCACAAAGCTCGGCCGTAGTCGATGAAACAGCGTGATCAAGCCGTCCTGACCAAGAATGGTGTTCTGATGGGATATGGTATGCCGCAGACGCGGAATCGTTAATAAGATTAACAGAGCCATCAGTGAATATGATCTTAAATGAAGCATGGCGGGACGCCAGGACGTCTTCCGTCAAGGCGCGGCTGACCAGCGAGGAATGCTGTGATTTTCCATGAAAGCCAGAGATGTCATCATATACGGTGAATGGATGCTCACTCCACGGTGAATCGGCTGGAGAACGCTGAACAGCTGGGCCCGTTTGCTCGAAGCGCTAACCGCGGCTAAAGTTAGCCGCAGTACCTAGGAGGGGGATTTTGAGATCACGTGACTGGCTCAGTAGGGATGCGGGGAAACATGGCGGTGCCCCAGTGAATGAGCGCCGCTCGCTTTAGAACTAATATGCCGTTGTAACTGCCATATCGGGCGCGTTAGTCAGCAATGAACGGTGCAGGAGGCTTTCGCTTTGCCTTACCTCACTTAAACCGCAAAGCATGGGCAATGGCATGGCCGCATTTTTTAGATAGTCTTTCGATTCTGGGCATTCCTAAGCCTAAATGAACGCGATAATTGTCGGCATGGCAACGTCTTTGGAAAGCGGATTGTTGATAGCCCACAAAAGCAGACAGCGTCCCGACAGACTTTTTTCTAAATTATCCAAGCATCGCTAGGAGTACGCTGGAAGTGTCATTCTACGGTCCACGCGCGCTGGCCTTCATCTTATAAAAGATTTCAAGTAAAAAATCATAATAAGGCTTTAACAAACGCGCGTGCAAGGCAAAATTTGTTTTATACTTTTTGCTTTAGAACGGTTACTACTGCAGACGCCAGCACGTGCGACGCGTGCAACTACAGTCGTAGCATGCACCTCGGTGCTTGGATAATTTAGAAAAAAAGGTCTGTTGGGACGCCGTCTGCTTTTCTGTGCTATCAACAATCCGCTTTCCAAAGACGTTGCTATGCCGACAATTATCGCGTTAATTTAGGCCTAGGAGTGCCCAGAATCGAAACACTATCTAAAAATTGCGGCGATGTCATTGCCCATGCTTTGTGGTTTAAGCGAGGTAAGGCAAAGCGAAAGCCTTCTGCACCATTCGTTGCTGACTAACGCGTCCGATATTGCAACCACAACGACATATTAGTTCCAAAGCGAGCGGCGCTCACTCACTGGGGCACCGCCATGTTTCCCCGATCCCTCCCGAGCCATTCACGTGATCTCAAAATCCCTCTCCTAGGTACTGCGGCTAACTTTAGCCGCGGTTAGTGCTTCGAGCAAACGGGCCCTGGTGTAGATCCGAGCGCCTCTATCAAAGTGTTGCAGTGTCTGCCTTAATGAGAACAATGCCGCCGTTGGATATCCTCGTAAAGAGAACCACCGCTGCTGGACTGGGCGAGTCGAACCAGATGGCGAAGAGCCCGTTCCTTAGCGTGCAAAGATACTGGCATTTCCTGGGCCTCAATCCACGTTGCCTCTATTCGAGAGTAAGGGGGGAGTCCTAGGGCCATCCTTAGCCCAGCGCGATGACGTCGTTCCAGCTGATCCCACAGAGAGCGAGTAGGGGGCAAGTACGGCGCGACATAAAGAATCCGAGACAGGTTCAGCGCTCGATGCACGTTAGTTAGGGCTCGAGGAGTTGGTCCCCAATCAAGGCCACGAAGCCTACGAATAAGAGAGGTTGTCATCGTGCTTTGCCGTACAAGAGTAGTTACGTGGCGACGAAAGCAGAGCCGCGAGTCGAGATCAACGCCCAGATAACGGTAGTTTCGCACACGTGGCAATCGGATCCCAAATAAAGTTAAACGTGGAAACCCGTGGCGAAGAGGACGGCGGGAACATGCGAGCACAGCCGTCTTTTCTGCCGAGATGGAGAGGCCGAGGTCTTCCGGCATGTTTGCAAATCGTGTAAGGCAGGTTTGCATAAAAGGGCGAAGTATACGGCGATCGGAATGGGAAGCCCACAAACAAATGTCGTCAGCATAAATTATCATACCACTAGGATGAGGTGATGAGTCCATGCATAGTGGTAGCGTTGCCATTACGACGTTGAAGAGTGTCGGGCTTAGACAGCTACCTTGAGGTAGCCCCCGCAGCAGTGGGCGAACAGCACCTTGAAACGTTCCCAGGCGGATACTGATAGTCCTGCCGTTCAGGAAGTCTTCGAAATATCTTAACATCCTTCCCGTTACGCCAAGATGTCTCAAGCACGCAAGAACATCATGGGGAACAGAGTCAAATGCGCGTTCCACGTCTAAAAATACTGCCAAGCCTGTATGTCCCTGGGAACGGGCGTCTTCCAATGCTGACGTGAGAGTCGCAATGCAGTCAGCGTTGCAACGTTCGCTTCTGAATCCTGCGAGCTCAGGGGGAAGAGCTTCAGTATCGTCGAGGAACCACTGAAGGCGTGTAAGGACCAGGCGCTCTAAAAGCTTGCCAACGCATGATGTCAAAGATATCGGGCGATAGGATGACAACTCCGAGGAGGGCTTGCCGCGCTTTAAAAGGGGTGTTATCAATGCGTGTTTCCATTCTTGAGGGATCACACCCGAAGACCAAACTGAATTTAAACGTTCGAGTAAGGAGCTGCGTGACTGTTAGCTGAGATTTCGTAATGCTTGATATGTTATGTGATCAGGCCCGGGAGCACTGTGACGCTTGCATCTTCGAAGAGCAGCTCCCAGTTCTGACATGGTGAGGGGGTGGTCCAGATTCTGCGGACTTCGCGATGGGCCAGTCAGCGATAGGGGCCGCGATGACCTTACAGGAAGAGTACTCTTAAACGCGTGCGGCATGTACGCAAAGGTATCTCTGGCAGTCTTCAAATAAATCATGCTTCTCCGCGAGCTCTGACGGGTTGCAAGCCTGCTAAAGGTGCCTTGAGGTTGGTTGGTGTCGGTCGCTCCTGCTTGCGAAGCCGATGCTACGAGCAGAAGCGTGTAGTCTTCAACGGCACATTCATTTCCGAAGCGCGAGTGCATAGCATACCTTCCCAAAGCGTTGCGCTCGCTCTTGTAGCTTTTCCTACTCTCGCACTTATGGTGAAACAAAGAGTAGGACGTACAAGAACAAGAACTATCTAAAAGCTATGTCTTTCCTGCGCGCTTGTTTTACCAGTAAGCGAGGTGTTCACAGGAACAGAAAAGCGGTGGAGGGGGAACGGTACTGTACTGTACGGTACGGTAAACAAACGTGTTGACATACCGCAGCTTGACAGCACGCAGATAAAAAAGAATCTAGGATCACTACCTCGAGCTCAACTCTCGCTTGCCGATTTCGCTGTAGATGGGCTTTGCACTGGATGTCCTGGTTTCTCGCAGCTGCAACGCAGTCAAACGCAGTCAAACGCAACTGTGCGTTGGGGCCTTTACCTTACCGCGCGATGCGCTTCAACGCCCCAGGTTGGAAGCCGTACCGCTCTAGGCTGACTGCCCCACTTCTGCAAAAACACAAGCATCTTGAGAACGACTATCCTACCGCACTCACAGCCAATATGGCAACACCTGCTCTCTCTTTTTTTTTTTTGACAGTTGTGTGTTTGTATTTTTTACCCGCGTGTATCCCACCATAGTTAACCGTATTAACAATGTAAGACGCAAAGGTAGTCGGAGCTGCTAGAAAAATCTTAAAAGAGGCTTAGATTCTTCGACAATTCGCTAAGAAGCTTAACCCTAAAGAAGCTAAGTTTTCCCTACGTTGAATCGCAGGGGACTACGAGCCATCGGAGCCAATCAAACGCTGAATGAGTGTCGTCTGACCTTTTTTTGAGCGCAGCGGCGCGCGGGGCATGATGTCAAGTGATACGCCCAAACGCATGTGTTGGTTTAGCTTAGATGACTCCCAGCGCCTGGTGCGGCTTAAAGATGGTGCACACACTTGCGTGAGTCCGACCCAGTGCGCGAGTTGCTATGACAACAGAGGCGTCGGCTCCAACAAAACGTGGTAAAAACAGCTTTTGTTGGAGTCGACGCAGCTGTTGCCATAACAACCCGTACGTTCGCAAACCGTTAAGCCTGGTTCAGACAGTTGCATTTGACTGCGTTTGACTGCGTTGCGGCAGCGAGAAACCAGGACATTCCTGCTGCTTATGTCCCGTGCCAAGATCATTCCTTGAATTGAATTCCACGCTTCATACGAAGTACGGATGTGCCGGTGACTCACTTTCGGTTCTCGACGCAACGCAGTCAAACGCACTCAAACGCTAGTGTCTGAACCGGCCTTTACAGTTGCACTCGGTCAGACGCGACGCAAGTGTGTGAATCGCTCTTTATCACAATTTTGCATAAGGTAAAACGGAGCATAGCGAAATGTGGCTGCCATCCTGAGTTCTCCGTGAAATCAACCCATTAACCGTATGTACTCGGGAAACTTGTAAACGCAAACAAAGACGGACACGTAGAAGGAGACGCGGACAAGCGCTTCGCGTCTGTGTCTGTTTGCGGTTACAAATTTCCTGAGCGTCATGCACCAACTATCTCAACAAGTTATCGTTAACCATAGAAGATCCTTGCGAAGACGGAGCCGTCGTCTGCAACGGTGTTACTGCAGCGCGAGAAACAATAGCCCTCTCTGTCTCTTTCAGTGTCGACAAAATGAGAGGACTCCCTGTAATGGTTGCCGTGGCGCTTGCGCCCCGGTTGTCTCGCAGGTGCTTGTGCCCTGCCTGGTGTGCTGGACGTCGGCGGAAGGCTCCCGGAGCGAGCGCGTGTTCGCCCAGCTCAAGGCTCTCCGGGAGTGCGAGCGCAGAGCCGTCTACGAGCCGGAGGAAAACGACACCGGTAGGCAGAAAACACCTTTCATTTTTTTATATACCAATCCACACTCTAGTAAAAAAAGAAATTAAGGCCCGTTCACACTCTTGCGACTGCTTGCGACCTCTTAAACCTCGGTTCCTTAAAACTTCTTAAACCAGAGAACACACTGGCGCCATCTATTGGGAAGCAGTGTAAACTCGGCGGTCCGGCATATTTTTTTTTATTTCTCGCGCAATATCCTTTCTTTTTTGGCTCGAAAAACTTTTGTCAATGTTATAAACGAGCCTTTCTATGGATATTACGCACATTTGACCTCGGAAGTCCCGCAAAACCTTCGCTTTTGTGAAATGCAGTTCTAGGGTCACCGCGTAGATGGCGCCACAATGTCAGTGTGTTCCCTCATTCTAGAAACATTTAAGAAGTTGTAAGATATCTCGTCTCTCTCAGTCGTACTCGGTCGCAAGAGTGTGAACGGGCCTTTAGTTGCTTTCTGAAAGAACTGCGCAAGCCGCTTCGCTGCAGGCATAATATGTATCCCGTCCCGCTTATATTCTTTGCCAGCTTCAAAAAATTCGGCTGGGGCTACACTTCGTTTCGCCTTACGTCCGGCCGCAGTGGACACAATGAGCCATCTCAGCCAATCGCCCCCTCTCCCTGGACACGTGACACTCACATGGCCCTTGGATTGGCTCGGATGGCGGCTAGCATCCGCATGCGTTCGGATCGTAGGCGGAGGGCAAGCCCGCTTCTTGCGCAGGGGGTTGCAGTGACGTCAGAGATACGCAGAGCTCTGATTGGCTCTCATTGAAGGATAGTGGGTAGACCTCAAAGCAAGTTGCCTTGAGGTCTACCCACTATCCTTATTTCAGAACCAATCGGAGCACGGCACTCTGACGTCAGCATAACCCCTGCAAAAGAAGCAGACGAACTTGCACTCTGCACAGGGTGAAACGGATTGTAGCCCCGAACATCTCATTATCTCACAGCAGCCAATCGGATTGCGGCGTCCGTTAATAAGAACACCGAAGAACGAATCAGAAAACGAAAAGCTTGATTGGCCACGCCCCACGTTTCTTCGGCTGTCAGTGACTGCAGTCAGAGCGTCCGACTCAAGAGGGAGCTCGTAGTTGAGCCAATAAAGGAGGGAAATGGGGTCGTATAGCTAATCTAAGAAGGTGCCGTATTTATCCGAAATTGAGTCGACCTCTTTGTAAACAATGCCTGTGCATGTTCTGCAACGCTCAAGAAGAGCCAATCATTGCGATTTACGGGAGAGACCTGGTGAATGACGAGGCACCGATAACGTCCAAACGCAGAAAGATCTGCAAGGGCCGCATTTTTTTTTTTTTTTTTTCATGTTAAGCGTAATTTTTGGTTTTTCGCCATTCGCCGGTTCCTTTCGCCAGTCCTAATGATTGGTCTCCGTGGGTTCTGTTGGAAAGTACACGCTAAGGCTTGTTCATAAAAAGGTCGGCCTATACTATTTTCGAATAAATGCGGTATTTAAGTCTTGGGTACGAAAAGCTATCATTTAAAATAGTTTCTCAGAAATATCTATTGCCGAACGCTCATTCTCCACCCAAATGTAGCACTAAAAGTTCGAACCGAATGCAAAATTTTTAGCAAAAACCGATATCTTATTTAAACGTCGTAAGTAATGTTCTGAAAATATCACTGTGAAAATGGCGCCCATTTTCGTCCGTTATCGGTCTCTGACGCCATAGAGCTCAATGTATTTGAGAGCTCCGTCGGCCGCCGTTTTCCCATTAAAATCTAAAAAAGAAATCACTCACAACTTTTGAATACGATAACGGTTAGTGCTGAAACTTTGGCATATAGTTTGGACCTCTAGGGCTACATTTGGGGGAGAATGAGCCTTCGGCAATGCACAGTTTATGTTTGCGGTGAAAAAAAAGAAAACATATAAATTGTGTGTGTGTGTGTGTGTGTGTGTGTGTGTGTGTGTGTGTGTGTGTGTGTGTGTGTGTGTGTGTGTGGGGGGGGGGGGGGGGGTCGGAGTGGGGACTTCCTGTGAATTTTATTATCATTATTCCTGGAACTCTCATAATCTTAAGTGATCTCCAAAGAGGAAATATTCAAAATAATGCATACAAATGAACAGTACTTGATCGAACTGAACAAAGTTTACGAAGCCGCCGAAAAATAAAATCCTTAGCGGCGCCAGGATTTGAACTCCGGGGCTTCTAATATCCGGTCTGGTGTGCAAACCCCTACACCACACCGCCTTTTTTTTTAATTTAAACATTGCATTTTTATGTACAAGGATTATAAAAAAAAGGCATTGGTTTTATTGAACACTAAGTTTTCAAACACTGCTCAAAAAAGCGTAGGACCAACGCACACGCCACAACCAGTTTCACTATTGAAACCCAGCCGCGCCTACTTAGCGGGGCTTTCAAAATGTCTGTTCCGCAACCTATCGTACATTAAAAACCAACACGCTCAACCATTTATATGGTAAGTCACCTTCGCCGCAACGCAGTTAACCTTCGCCTTTACAACTGTGTTTCTACAGTTGCCCAACATTCCAACCCTCGCTGTTCCGTAGCCTCTATGTAAGCGAGCTCACGTATATATATGAACCCGTCGATAAAGTGCCGCCATGCAGGTTTCGACCCTTCCGATACTTGGAGGTGCTTGGTCGTGGATCGACAAATAGAATAAAGGCCAAGAAGTGCCAACCCCTCCCATGCTCTGCTGTCGGGATGCTCTCCGAACTTTAATAACTTCGCGCTTTTCCAGCCGACGTACACGTCGACCTTCAGCACCTCTCGGAGCTTTGCCCAGAAAAGTGCGGCGTTTGTGCAATACAAAAAAAAAGTGTTGTAGCGTTTTGGGGGTCGGACATAGCACACAGTTCGTCGACCATGGGTCGTAACAACCCTTTTTAACGAGCCATGTCTTGACAAGGGATCACTTCAAAGTGAAAACGCAAAAAGAAATTTTTGATTGCCGTTCTGACCGGATATCTTCTCAAACGATGAAATACATCAGAGTCAACAGCACTCCCAGCAAAAACACGATACATTGGCGGCGGCGTTATTAGGTCAAGAGTATCCCAAAGCAGGGTTTCTCTTTTATCTTCTTCTCCGGTTCCTCCTGGAAAAGCGGGCTTCGAAAAACACCTTAGCCGCTGCTATTTCTCTATGGAGCCTCAAAATGCGCGACGGGTAGTCCCCAGCGTGTCCCTCGAATACGCTGTCGAGCCACTTGCTCAGACACCTTCCTCTTAGTTCTGTGAAAAAGGAGACAATAAAAAAATTTGTTTAAATCCTTTAAAAAAAACACAAAAAAAATGAAAGCCGTTTACAACTCCCTGTAACACCTAATTGGAGCGCAGCTCTTGAGGAGGAGGAGGGAAGGGTACTGAAGGTTACCTGTTCTCGGGGCGGGGGAGAGAGGGGGGGGTCGTGTGACCTTGCGGGGTCACGTGACCCCCCAGAAAAATTTTTTCGCTAGATTTAGCGGGGAATTTTTTCCGCTAGAATTAGCGGGGAAATTTTTCCGCTAGGTTTAACGGGAAAATTTTTCCCGCTAGATTTAGCGGAGAAATTTTTCCGCTAAATCTAGCGGGGAAATTTTTCCGCTAGATTTAGCGGGGAAATTTACCCATAATGCACCGCGCGGTTGTTACGCCAACGGCGACGCCGACGCCGCTCAAGCCGGAAACGGGCCCCTAAGAGCTGCGCTCTAAAACGTTGAACTTTCAATTTAAGCTCCACGTTTTTTTCTAGGTCCAGGCCACATATCTTGTGATTCAGAAATCGGTTGCTTTGCCTCATGCGTTCAAACCCCGAGCCCATACAAAAGTAGCGAAAAAACGACGCACTTCACAGTGTAACTTTAGGAACACAGCAACACTTGTGCCACATACTACACAGCAGAAAAGAACGCAGAGTTGCAAATAAAGAAAACGATTAGACAAGGACCTTTCTCGGGCATGCAAGTCTTCGATTTTTCCTCTTAGACGAGTAACGTCCGAACCACCGCATCCAGAACTCAGTTGCTCTGTGTCCAAGCTGACACCGAGATAGTTCGACACGCTCGCGGTCAAGGTGACTCCGAGGTAGCGCTGACTTTGAGTCCCAGTCTCCCAGTCAGGTGACCGCACCCGAGACATGCACCGCAGAAGTCTGTGATGTGCTGCATCACCGCGCGCTGTAGCGTTCTCGACGAGCACAGCACAGCCACACCGTCCCCGTGGGCGAGCATTTTCAGCGACGCCGACGACAGAGAAAGCCCCCGAATACTCTCTTCACCGATGATTGTCCTGCACTGGTTCGAGGTACAGCGCGAATAGCATCGGAGACGTCGGGCAGCCTTGCCGTCATGTTTCCGTTCACAACTCAGACGTGTCGTGATGTCGCGTTGGCACAGCTGCACGTATCGGAGATAAGGCGCACCGATTCTGCTCTCTTCTAAAAGCTGGAACAAAAGGAGTGGCTCACCCGGTCGAATGCTTTGTGAAGGTTGACTTGCAGAACTGCCAGAGAACAGTACCGCACCTGCGCAGCCTCGCACACGATGCGCACCGCGTGCAGGTTTGAGGTTATGCTTCGCCCATTGATGGCGTATGTTTAGTGGTCTCCAATGACATTCCGAAGGCCCCATACAAGTCGCTTTTCCAAGATCTTCGCGAGGATTTTATAGTCGGTCGTGAGAAGGCTTATAGGCCGAAAGTAGTCAACTTTCAGGGCTCCTTTGGGTTTTTCTTCGCGATGAGCACCGTGACCGCCTGACGCATTGAGGGCGGCATCAGTCTTTGCTCGAGTACGTCAGCAAAGACGTCTTTCAGAATTTGGTTCAGCTGTACTTCGAACGACTTGTAGAAGAGGCTGCCAAGTCCGTTTACTCATGTTGGCCTGTGTCGGGGCCAGATCTTTAATGGCATCCTACACCTCTATCGTCCAAATCTCCCGGTTCATCTGACAGCTTCAGAGATCTTGGGCAGCGCCTCTCCGGCGGTTCGACTGTCTTGGTCTTCCTTGGATTCGCCTACTTGC